AAGGCATGGCTCAGCCAGTCCTCTTCTTTCTCCTCAGATGCTCCCAGAGTGGAAGCCTGGCTAGCTTTGGCAGGAGACCCTGCACCCTCAGTTGATGGCTTTGCCCCTGAAGAGGGCTGTGTAGCTGGGCCAGAGTGCTGGCTTGTAGGAGGTGGTGCCGAGGGTGAGGAGCGCACTGTGGCTCCCCTTTGGGCTTCTCTGGTGGGGGAGGGAGGAAGCAGCTCCAAGTTATCGTCCTTAAGGCCCAACCAGTCAGCTCCTCCCTTCCTGGGGTGGATGGGGCTGGACACTGCCGGAGGGCTCTGTTTGGAGCCCAATTCTCCCTTGGCATCTGGGCCACCATCCGCTAAGAACCTACTTCAAGAACAAGAGGAGGGTGTTAGGGAGGGGAAGCAGCTTGTCCCAATCATCTCCTTATCAGCCTTCCCTTCACAGCAAGGAGTTGATGATGCCCAGGAACTCTGCATAGACAGCCCAAGCCTCCATGACCAGCAGTGTCTGGACTAGCTCAGCCCTCAGGGCAGCAGCAGGCCCTGTGCTGTGTTTAGAACACCACAAATATGGACATCCTGACTTTCATTGCATGAACCAGGGATGATTCTATCCACAGAAAATAGGATCAAATTATAACCATGGACCAGGTGCGGTGGGTCTCACCTGTATTCCTAGCACTTTGGGAGGCAGAGATGGGAGATTTACTGAGGCCAGGAGTTCGGCACCAGCCTGGATAACATAGAGATCCCTAACCTCTTCAGAAAAAGGAAAATTAGCTGGATGTCATAACCCTACACCTATAATCCCAGATACTTGGGAGGCTGAGACAGGAGGATTGCTCCAGCCTAGGAGTTTAAGGCTGCAGTGTGCTATGATGATGCCACTGCACTCAAGCCTGGGCAACAAAGTGAGACCTTGTCTCAAAAAAAGGAAACACAACCAGAGATACACACGTGCAGAGTAAAATCAGTTAGAGTAGTTCCCAGGTTTTCTATCAACAGTGATTTTGCTACTTGGCCTCTGTCCAGCCATTGCCTACATCTGTTACTGACCAG